TTTCCTGTACATGAAGTGTAGTAATATTCAGTTTTATATAAGCTGGGTCCCTATGATATCAATAATGACTGAATCTAAACTGCAATTTGTAAATAGGTCAAATCTTGTTTCAACTTGCTTGTGCTCATTAATAACAAGAAATACCCCAAAGTCAGTGTGGTATTATATTGCTACACATACGGATGCAAAATGTATGAATGTGGCTCCTTTATACCTCACGTGTATAATTAATTGCTTGAACAAACTCTATTTTGCTGAGAGAAATAAGGAAGCTAAGAAAAAGGGAGCAAACAAGGGAAACTCTAAAACCACACAGCCTCAGTTTAGTTCCTCTTTCTTGATTTGTTAGACTTCCCTGGCAAAGATCTCATAGGAGATTTTTATGCAGCCGTTTCCATTACTTCCTCTTTCTCCAAAGTCTTTAGCTAAAAATCCTTGTTTCAAGAAATTAGTGTCACACTGTAAAAGCTATCCTTAAGTATTCCCAGAGATGTGCACAAAATAAAGAGAATACAACTCACTCTTATTGAAACTATAGTTAGAAAAAAAAACCCCTCCCTACTTTATGTTCATATTTTCTGTCCAAAGCCACAGTTGCAATAACAGTTCTATACACTTCATATACTAAACACAAACTTCAATCATGCAAGACAATCAGCTATACGCATACGGGGCCTAATCATCAGAGGAGAGTGCATAGATCACTCTGAGTCAACCCACTCTCCATATCAAGGCAATCTTTATTTTCCCTTGGGGATATATTCCTGATGTTTTTTTCCTTATCTGAAGTTTCAAGGAATGTATAGAGTAAAAACTATTGGGCAAGTGCAATGAGAGTACTTATGATGAATGTCCATGCCTCGCAGTATTCCTTAGTGACAGAATCCCGGATCATTGCATACCATGGAGAAATATCTCTAGGATATTCAAGAATAAGCAAGAGTTCTATGGCCATCAAAATTTCTATTAGGCCTAGAGGCCACTTTCTACTATCAATTTCTCTTTTAAACATATATTAAAGTGCCCCAAAATTAAAAATTGGTATCCCAACATCAGATAAAGTAGAGAAGGAAACTACAGACTTTGCTTTTCTCTTATAGCAGCTATTTATTTACACATAACAGAAAGCTACATATTTATTTATTTATAAAATTTATTGGCTGCCCATCTTATCATAGGGTAAATCTGGGCGACTTACAGTTACATATAAGTTAAAACATAAAAAGTTAAAATCAAATATTAAAACCAAGGACACATAGCAAGGGCGGGGTGGGGGGAGATGGGATCTGTTATTAATTAACCATCTCTTTTGCGCTGTTCACCCACTGGGGCCCCAAGCCAATTGGCAAAGCCACATCTTTCAGCTCTTATGAAAAGATAGGAGGTTGGGACCAACTTCACATCGGGGGCAAGATGTTCTAGAGGGCAAGAGCAACAGCAGGGAAGGCCTTCCTCCTGGACCCCACCAGCCAGAATAATCGGGCTGATCAGGCCTGCAGCATGGCTCCTCTGCCAAGCTGTTTCACTGGTTAATTGTCCTCACTGTTAGGACATTTCTTAATTCCAGGTTGCTTCTCTCTTTGGTTAGTTTCCAACCATTGTTTCTTGTCATAATCCTAACCCTCTGGTGCTTTGGAAAGTATTTTTACGCCCTCTTCTTTGTGGTGCCCCTCAAATACTGGAATACTGCTATCATGTCACCTCTGTTTCTTCTTTTCTTTAGACTAGCCAAACCCAAGTCCTGTAACCATTCTTCATGTTTTAGTCTCCAGGCCTTTGATCATTTTAGTTGCTCTTCTCTGAACTTTTTCCAAAGTTTCAACATTTTTTTGTAGTATGGTGATCAAATTTGGTTGCAGTATTCCAGGTCTGGTCTTACTAGAGTTTTATAAAGTGGTACTAATACTTCGTGTGATCTTGATTCTATGCTTCTGTTTATACAATCCAGGATTGTATTAGCTTTTTTGGTGATTACTGCATACTGCTGGCTCATATTCAAATGATCATCCACTAGGACTCCAAGGTCCCTCTCATAGTTACTCTTTTTGAGCCAGGTCTCACCTAATCTGTAATTATACCTTTGATTTTTCCTGACTAAATGTAAACCTTTGTTTTTTCCACATTAAAATTTATTTTGTTGGATAGGGCCCATTGTTCAAGTCTGTCAAGATCTTTTTGGATCCTGAGCTTGTCTTCTGGGATGTTGGCTATCTGCAAATTGGATGAGTTTCCCTTCTATTTCCTCTGATGGTGTTGCTATCTATCCTACCTTTTTTCTAGCTTACTAAGCAGCAGATTGTCAAATGCTTTACTGAAATCTAAGTATACTATGTCCACAGCGTTTTGCTGATCTACTAATTTAGCCACTTTTTCAAGAATGAAATAAGATTGGTTTGGCATGATCTGTTTTTAACAAACCCGTGCTGGCTACTAGTTATAATTTGTTTGCTTCTAGTTGTTCACAGATTTTTTTATCTTTTCAAGGATCTTCCCAGGTACTGATGTTAGACCAGTGTGGCAAACCTATGGCACATGTGCCAGAGGCGGCACTTAGAGCCCTCTCTGTGGGCACACACGCAAAGTTCGCCAGAGTAGTGAGCACATGGCATTTGGAAGCGACAGGGCAGGAAGTGGGCAAGCAAGCGGCATTGGCCCCCTGGGGATGCCACGCTCACCCAGTCTGCCGTGACCACTGCAGCCATGCCCACCCAGTGGGCCACGCCCATCCACCCCCCCCAAGGGCACAATGCTGATGCAGCCCTGGCACTTTGAGATAAATAAGTGGGTTTTGGGTTGCAGTTTGGGCACTCGGTCTCTAAAAGTTTCGCCATCACTGGCTTATATATAAGGACATATTTTAGATATTTAAATGTGATTGATTTTAAGAAACTTACATTGGATTGAAAAATTTTTTTTAAATAAGAGTTAAAAGACCAGATGACTACATTTATTAAATGGAATATTTGAAGATTAAATATATTCTTAATTATGGTAAAAAAGAATGGAAAAATTTTAGAAATAAATATGTATTAGCTTAGGGGAAACATGGACTTTCAGTAGTATACTACCTTTTTATCCCTCTTTACTCTTGTTCTTTTTTTCTTTTTTTAGTCTTATTTATTCCTTAACTAAGGTAAAAGTTATGGGATGGCTTACATGAGAAAAAATAGAATCAAATATTTAAATATAATTAACTTTGAGAAAAATCTTAACCAGTAAGAATGTCTTGAATATTGTGGGAAAAACAAATGTAAATAAGAACTGTAAATGGAATGTATGATGAGGCAACCAGAATGACTAGATAGAAAAGAAATATTATATTGATGTAATTATTATTTGTGGAAATATTAGAAAAAAAATATATTCAATTGTTATCTGTCAAAACAATAAGAATTGTATTAAGATTGGTAAAAAAGAACATTATGGGAAGAAGAGGAAATCAAGTAAAGCTATTATGTGGATTATGGATTATAGAAACCAATTGTTACAAATGTTTTTTAAATGTAAACCCAGACAACACAGTGTTTACCGAATATTAAGGTGACCGTGTTAAAAAATTAATAAAATATATTATAAAAAAAGAACTGTAAAACAAAAACGATCCCCTCCACCAAAGGAAATCACAGTGAGAGTGACGTCACTACCCCATTATTGCCCTCGCTGCTTCCAATAAATAAATAAAACATAAAAATAAAAAGAGAAGCTTCCAACTGGCAGAATATTTCCCAACAGCTTTTTTCACTCTGGGATCCTCCAGAAATATTCTAATCCTAACTTCCAACATTCCCAGGCACATGCCAATATGCCTTGGAATTCTGGGAATTGTAGGCCGATCATTTTGGAAAAACACCGGGCAAGGTAGAGCCCGGTAAAGAAAGAAGGTAAACGTCCCCTTAAACTTGTATACCCTACATTTCACTCCTGTTCCTTACGATACCTGTTGGAACTAAACGGGATCGGAACACCCGCTTTATTTTCCAACTTAGAACCGTGGGGTTTTTTTCCCCCACGGGGCAGAAGTTACGTGCTGTACCCTTTGCCCTCCAACCCAGGCACCCAAAATTAATCCGTTTGAACGAGTCTGAGCGGATACGATTAACACCTCAAGGCTCGCGGGTGAACAGGAGATTGACTGACAGGTTCCTTCCGCTTTCTAACACGCTTCCAATACAACACAGCACAGATTTGGGTTTCTTTTTGCCCCGCCGATAAACGACCATTGCCAGGCAGAAACTGAACTACCCCTGTTCCGCACCGAGAAAAGCTTAGCCTGTTGATCGGCCGGCAGCGGCTTAAAAGCGTAAGGCCGGCGAGGGAGAGAAGGAGGAGGTAAAGAGAAAGAGAAGCGGAAAACGCGCGAGTCGGACGGGCCGGTGCTTGCCTCATCCCGCGGGCCGAAGCGCGTGTTAACCTGCTTTCCTACTCCACCCGTCGGAAAGGGCCGGGTGCGTTATCTCCGGGACTGGCAGAGGGCGGAGCAGAAGGAGGCCAGAGTTTCCCCGCCTCCCGCCTCCCTCCCGCCATTACGGCGACAAGACAGTACAAAAAGAGCGAGCGAACGACTGCGCAGCGGTGCCGCCCCCTTGCCTAGCACTTGAGTGAGCGCGGGGTAAATCGGGCCGTGAGGCAGGGAAGCGGCCTCACGGGCAAGCGGCCGGCTGCGGCCGCTATGCTCGCTCTCCTTTCTGCAGGGAAGGATGGCGGAAACTGCGGGGCTGAGCTCTCAAGCCGCAGCTGGCAGCGGCGCCGTCATTCCGCGCCGCGGTTATAACTGCTGGAGCCTTCCCCGTCGCTGCTTCTAGGGTCCCGCAGAGGTGGAAGCACATTCGCAGCCCCGGGGCCGCTAGCTGAACCACCGTTTCCTGGTACTTCTTTGGCGATCGGGTTAGAAGGACGAGCGGTGGACGTTTCGTTCTCTACTCCGTTTCGTCGGCGGGTCCCACTGAAAGGAGAGGTGGGAGAAGAACGAAGAAAAAGAAGGTGGTACCGAAGGAAGCACCATGGGCGCTAAGCAGAGCGGCCCGGCAGCCACCAACGGCCGAACGCGGGCTTACTCCGGGGGAGACTTGCCGTCCGGCAGTAGCAGCGGCGGTATTAACGGGACGGGCGGGCGGCCGATAGGCGGAGCGATGAGGTACACACACCTGGCGCCTGGAGCGCACCACGCGGCCTCCGGCTCCTCGACGAGCAGTGGGGCGGCGACGGCGGCTCCCCCTTTGGCAGCTCCCAGGAGTAGGTCTCTGGGCGGGCCAACTGTCTCCGGGACTAGAGCGGCGCATTCTGCCTTCCACATCCCCAACAGCAGCGGCCTCTATGGCTCCCAAGACTCGGTCAGCAGCACTCCCGAGGAAGGGGGGCGGGAACGAGCCACGGCGAGTGGCGGTGCAGAAGGACCCGGCGAGACAAGCGGAGGACCCCGGCTAGTTATCGGCTCGCTGCCCGCGCACCTTTCGCCTCATCTTTTTGGAGGTAAGGATTCCTGTCCGGCCATAGTGAACAGGGCATGTGAGAGTGAGGAGTGGGGAACTATACCGTTTGATAGGGGACAGTGGTGCCCGGGTGTCACTAGAAAAATGTAGGAAGAAGGAAAGGAGAAAATTTTCATTGTTAAATCTCCAAAATGGGTAAAATCTTTATAGCGGATGAACAGATTTAGGACGGGACCAGACTCTTCAAAAGTTTGATCTTGGGACTCCTAATCTCCCCCAAGTGGAAGAGCGATATTCCCAGTGAGAGATAAAGCAGTTTTCCTTGTGAACAGTGGAGCTGGTAGTATTATTGATTAAGCCGCGCTGTTAATAAAGTTAAGCTACACTGTGTTCAGGAGGTTAAGTCTCCTGTTTATAGCTACATAGGTTTATACACTTGACTATTCAAATCTGTTCAAAGTAAGAGTGTAGTCAAGTGGGAGTTACTCCCAAACAAGTACATCTGAATACAACACAGACTTGGAGTTACATTATTAAAGCTTTTATACATGCTCTCATAGATTACCATTGCATATGCTACAGTAGACCACTTCCTAAGTGGTTCACTATAATACCTGACCAAAACTAATGACACCACTGGGATGTAAATGATCAACAAGTGGTTTTGTGCTGAAGAGTCCTACTTATTTCTAAACATTTTTTTTTCTTGAAGTGGCAAAGCCTGGATTTTAATTGCTAATATATAAGGAATGAACATTGGGGAATGGGTAGGACATTAACCTCTGTATCAAAATCACCCAGGACACCATATTAACATATTTACCAGTACTTTTTATTTTGTTCTTCTGGAAAGAATTACTAAGAATGTTCCAGACAGAGAGAATTTGAATTAGTTTTTTTAACTTTTATCTTAAAAGAGAAATCCAAGGAAGAAATCAAATCCGTAATATCCCAGTTAATACAAGTGTCTGCCCTAATTGCTTTTGATTTATAAAGTCTCTTGCCTGATACCTAGATAATTAGAATTTAAGTCAATAATATTTTTGTCTGTGCATGTATTTTAAATTTGACAAAGGACTTTTAAAAACATGAAGAATTTGTTCCTAGTTTAGGTTAATGAATTTTCATTCTGATTCTTTAACTTAAGTGTTACATTAATTTTATTAATATGAAATAAAAACAATAAGCAAATGCATTCAGATTCCTATTTTATAAAGTCTGGTTTACCCCATTACTATACTCAAGCTTTCCTATACAAATGATAATACTTCGTTAATTCTTTGGAGGGGAGCGGTGACTAGAAGTATTTCAGGTTATCCTTTTTACTCCTGAGATGTCTCAGACAAAAAGGATGACAAGGGGATGAATGCCAGCTTTTCTCTTTGAAACTCTTATGGTTCTCCACCCAAAAAATCTGATTAAAATTAACACTAGTGGCAGCAGCTGGGCATTTTGCTGGCACAGCTTCTTCCAGATGGGGATATTGATCAGGTATAAAGCGTTGTTAAAGAAAATACACCTCTTTTATGATGCTGTGGCACATAAGATATTAATCCATGTGATCTAGAATAGTGTGTGTATGATATTTTCATCATTTATTATTTTCTAGAATTTTACATGTTGTAGTATTTAAATAGTCAAAACTGTTTCTATACTCTGCCATGAAGTCTATTGGGTGACTGGTCTTTTTAGTTACTGAGCCCACCTGGCAGTTGGGACCATTTTTATGATGAAATGGAGAAAATTAAATATGCTGTCTTCATAGAAGGAAGAACAGCCATACAATTGTAAATAAAAAATAGAATGTTGTTTTGAGCCTTTTCATTTTTGTTTGTATTAAAATTTCTTTTGATTCTATACATATTAGAGATGAAACAATTCCCAGACTACTCTGGCAAGGACCACTATTCTGATTAGCATCCAAATGACTTTGGTGTTGCATGAATATTAAAGATAAGTTAGATACCAATTGTACTTAAGTTGCTAAGGCAGCAATACTATAATCATAAGCAAATACCTGTTTTTTTTTCTCCCACCTCTCTTCTCCCTGTCAAAAAGAAATAGTAAGAACCAAAATAGATTATTTGAAAATTAAAATAATATTTAAAAATTAAAATAGAATTATCAGTTATCATGTAGTTAATAATGTAAAGTGAACTTATAAACGGTTTTCTTTTTTATCCTTTCTGTAATATACAGAGTTTATTTACAAAGTTCAATAAATTGGAGCTATTTCATAGTAAACAAAATGCATTATGAATATCTATTACATCCTTTAATAGGGTGTAAAAGTGATTATAATATATTAAAAGAAGCACTTGCTTTATTCTGCACCATCCAATAACCAAAATTTTAAAAGTAGAATTTAAAATTACACAACATAAATAAGGCATATTCATTCTAAAACCAGTGACATCAATCAGTATCATTCTCATCAATTAAACAACAAAACAAAAGATAAAACTAATATTTTATTATATTAATTCCATTAATAAGGAATTAATCTCCACAGAAAGCTGAAATAGGAATCTGTTGGATTTTCTGATACAGTTCTATGAATAACTGCAATACAACTATTTTTCCCTTTTTTATATGTTCGGAAAATATAATAATAATAATAATAATAATAATAATAATAATAATAATAATAATAATAATAATAATAATAATAATAATAATAAAAAAGTTGGAAGGGACCTTGGAGGTCATCTAGTCCAACCCCCTGCTCAGGCAGGAAACCCTATACCATTTCAGACAAATGGCTGCCAGTAGCTATTGATTTCTTTAGAGAAAAGTTCGAGTGCCAGTGTGGTCTCATAATGGCTTTAGACAAGAAACACATAGTTGAAATGAGAATATATGGAAATTATGTTAAAGTTTCTTTCAGATACTTCTGAAATCAAAATTGACCCCAGTGATTCTGCAAAAGTATGTGTACTTTAAGTCACTATGATCAATCATCACAATCTGTTACTTTTCTGCTGACTAAAGAGGTCTAGAGAAATACGGTCTCTCTGATATCAATTGTTGATGCTGTCCATTCAAACATGTCATATTCTAGGTGATTCTATGGAACACTGTTCTCCACATTTCTGATCTTGTATGTCTTTCAATTGTTTTATGCTCTAGATGGTGTTGGCTTTGATTGTGTCTAGCCACTATGTTTTTTGGCATTCTTGTTTCCTTTTATTGCTAACCATTTCAGGCATAACTGTCTTTTCCAATGATTTTGATCACATGACATAATTAAAATAAGACAGAATTTTCCAGCACTATGTCCAGTTTTATACACTCCAATACTTGATTGTCATCTTTGCTATCCAAAGAATGTTTTTTTGATACCTTCTTGTTGCCTTCTCCAACAAGACAACTTGAATGAGTTAATTTTCCTCATGTCTAATTTTTTTCATGGTTCAACTTTTGCAAGTGTAAGTAACTATTGGAAAGCACAATACTGCAGACTAATCTGCATTTAATTGCCGTGCTGATGTCCTTTTCCCTACTCAATTCATATTCATAATTGCTGTGCGACTCAGTGTGATTCGACTTCTTTTTCTGGGCAGTGTTCACTGCTTTGATCATTTGGTAATCTTAGGAAAGTAAATTTTAGCACACATTCGCTCTCTTCACTGTTAATTGTTATTTTGGAATATTTTTATTCCATTCCTAACAGTGGTCATGAATTTGGTCTTCTTGAAATTCAGAAAGAGGTCACATTTCGCGTTCTCCTTTTGATTAGATTTTTTCAGATCTTTTTTGGTTTCTAAGAGGAGAGTTTTGTTGCCAATAGATTGAAGAGTTGTATTAGTGGGATAGGTGGCATAGAAGTCTAAAAACAAATTAAAGTAAGATTTTTGATGTTCCTTTTCTCCAATCTTTACTCCAATTTTTGACTCTTTGAATTCCATCTTTCTTGGGATTTCTTCAGTATATAGCAGTGGTTCTCAACCTGTAGATCGGGACCCCATTTGGGGTCGATAGACCATTTCATGGGGGTCGCCAAGCAAGGCTGTCCGCCATTTTTTTTGTCCGCCATTTTTTCCCCCTTTTCCGGCGGGTGCCTTACCTCCCTTGCACTGGGCCAGCTGGTGGTCGGCCTGCTCCATCTCTGCCGCTTGCCAGCTATGCCTCGGCCGGCGCAGGGGGCGGAACCACACATGCGTGGCGCTCCCGGGCAGGGAAAGTCCTTGAATTACGACCGGTTGGGTAGTCCTCGACTTACGACCGGTTTAGTCCTCGAGGTACGACCGGTTTAGTCCTCTACTTACGACCGGTTTAGTCCTCAACTTACGACCGGTTGGGGTCACGGCATTAAAAAGGTTGAGAACCACTGGTATATAGGTTAAATAAGGAAAGGGAAAGAATGCAACCTTTCGCTCTTTTTTTCTGTCTTGAACCAATCAGTGTCTCCATGAGGTGTTTGCATAGCAGTTTCTTGATTTGTGTGCATGACTGCACCAACTTGATCAAATATCTTCATACACCAGGCCTTCTAGGGCTTTCCACAGCCTGTCATGATTCACACAATCAAAGTGTCAATAGATACTATTTTAATATTCTTGATTTTTCCATTATCCAGTGTAGATTTACAATATAGTTGTGAGTGTCACAATCTTATCAGTTACTTTTTCTAAAAATTTCTTATAAAGAAAACTTCAATTGTTTAATTCAGGGCTTTTCAACCAGTGGTACGGGTACCACCTGTGATACATTGGCACCTGGCAGGTGGTACGTGACCATCCTAGAAAAGTGGTAGCGGGGGAGGGGAATGAGATGAACCGGTGGCAGCACCGCACAAGCCTGAGCGAAAGCGCCAGGATCAGTGCCACTTTCCAGCTGATCGGCGCTTCTTCGGGGCTGTCAGGACTCAGTGGAAGCGCCAGGATCAGCGCCAGGCTCCAGCTGGAGCTCGGCCCTGATCCTGGTGCTTCTGCTGAGCCCTAAAGAAGCACCAATCAGCTGGAAAGCAGCACTGATCCTGGCACTTCTGCTGAGCCCAGAAGAAGCGCCGATCAGCTGGAATGTTGCAGCCTCTCCAGG